TATATATATATATATATATATATATATATATATATATATATATATATATATATATATTTCATACACGGGAGGAACAGCTTCACTATTGTAAAATTTTCTGTTACTTGGAGACCAGATGAAAAACTTGGTTGTAGGAATAGAAAAATTGTTTTAGGAGACTCCTACTCAGCCAATTGCTCTCAGTTATCTCAACTTTTAATATAACGAGTGTTTTCGGTCACCGTAACAGAAATATTATGTCGCGCCAGCGAGTTTTTCGTCTGGTCTTCATTCAGTTACTCAAACTGAAATTGTTTTATTCGTGCAAAGATCAATTAAAACAAGTATAATGGACGTTTCCTGTGATGCCTTCACAGTTCATTTTGTACAGCACACTTCTCCTTTTAAAGCCAACACAAGAGGAAATATCAATCTTGATTAATATAATAACATAATAACAAGAAAGTATTTTGAAACGGAATTAGCTTTCATTCTGAATTAATTCAGGATATCTCTGATAAGAAAAAAAAATATTTTACTTTTTCCTGGTGAAATCAAATCATCTACGATCCCTCGTTTGCCGATGCATTTCTACTTTTGCATCTCTTCCTCTCTACGAAGCGTATGACTATCCTAAGATCCCTTCTTTCTCGTGGAAGAAGTGGCTCGATGCAATTACGGCTTAACGACGGGTCACGGTCGATGGAGCTCGCGATTCGTATTTATGGCAGAGAGGAGAGAGAGAGAGACCAAGATGCACGTTCGACTGCGACCGGAATTCGCGTTTGAAGGAACGGCCGAGGAGAGAAAGAGAGAGAGAGAGAGAGAGGATTTGTGATAGTATATCGAGTCTGCTTTCCTTTCTCGCAAGAGGATTATCCATGGACCCGTAGAAAGGCGGTCGCAACTGAAGAAAAGCATAACGATGGAACTTCTGAGTTGGGTGTACGAGCGAATTAAACCGCATTTCTCATTAGGAAGGATCCATTGACTCAGGAGAAGCATTGTGCGATAACGTGTGTGTCTGTCTGTGTGTGTATGTGTGTAAGTAAAATAGTTGCCGGAAGTTCGGTGTATTTAAGACGTGCTTAAGCTTAAGGAGAAGAAGAAGTTTGGTCGTTTCAGGTTTCGTACGTATCAACATCGCCAAACAGCGATGTATAATATTCCAACAGAACGTATCCAATTACGACCTTTTGCATATTTATACGCAATCTAGTATAATAGCAAGTGCCGCGCGGCAATTTGTATTAATAACTATCTGTTTATATTTTATTCGTAATTGTCCAAAATACCACGTGTCTTATTATATTTATGTCAATAATCGACGCAATTAATATCGTATTAGAAATTGAAAAGTTACGTTAAATGCTGCTAAACGCAAGTGCTGCTATTAAATCTATCAACGAAACGTGCCTAAACACATGACGAACGATCGTCAAGTCACGAACCTCGCGATTAAATACTAACTTTGTAGTTAGAGGTATTACTCGGCATTTAGACGTGAAGATGTAGTGTGCATATCGCCATTGTTAGCCGCAAAGTTTATCACGAAACGATTATCGCGTTGTTGGCAGTTATCGTCGTTTCCGGGCTCTTCGTATACTAATCAAATCGACAGCTCTCCCGCATAAGTTGGCGCATCAAGCCGAAACGTCAGAAGTTGCG